GGTGTTTGATCTTCTGCTCCTCTGTCAGTTTGCTGAGAATGATGGTTTCCAGGTTCATCCATGTCCCTACAAAGGACACAAACTCATCGTTTTTGATGGCTGCATAATATTCCATGGTGTATATGTGCCACATTTTCCCTATCCAGTCTATCGTCGATGGGCATTTGGGTTGGTTCCAGGAAAAATGACCTGATTCTTGAGCCCTCCTTCACATCAATTAACCGAGAATTTCGGTGCATTGCCATCAGCAATGATAATTCATTTTTATTAATTTTTCATATAACTTCTCAGGTAACTCTAATGGGCGCATGGCAAAGAACCACTAATATAAATAAATGTTTCTCAATGTATAGTAAATTTGCAATATTAATTAGAATTACCTGCAGAAAATTAATAAAGACTATGAATTCTTGGCACTAGCAAAACTCACTGGATCAGAATTTCTGAGAGGGGATTCAGGCACAAATATTTTTACAAGCATCCTAGTTGAGGCATAGGTACCATGAAGTTTGGTAGCTAGTATTCTAAGGTTCCTGAAATTGCAGCCTCTATCAGACTTGTAACAACTAATTTATTAGCACCTCTTTTATTCTGTACTGCTATAACATTAGCACAGACTAGGTAGTTTATAAAAATCAAAAATTGATTTATTATCATTTTGGAGGCAGGGAAGTCCAAGATCAAGGTGCTGGAATGTGGGGAAGAGATTCCTGCTGCGTTTCCACATGGGGAGGAATGCTATGACTTCACATGCTGGAAGGTAGCAGTGCAAGCTAGCAAAATGCTATAGGAAGCCTCTTCTTTAGGGAACTTGATTTCATTCACAGGGGAAAAGCCCTCATGACCTAATCACCTTTTAAAGTCCTCAGCTCTTAATATAGTAATATTGGCAACAGACACATTTTTTAACTTAATTATTTCTTTATTTTTTGTTTTTACCAAGATGAGGTCTCATTGTGTTGCCCAGGCTGATCTTGAACTCCTGGGCTTAAGTGATCCTTCTGCCTCAGCTTCCCAAACTGTGGGATTACAACTGTTAGCCATAATGCGTGGCCTTTAAAAAAATTATCTTCTCTTTTTTCAGTTTTTATTTTTTTAAATTTGTTGTACAAACAGGGTCTTGCTATGTTCCTCAGGCTGGGAGCATGCAGATTTTGGAGGGAACATATTCGATCTACAGCAACACCTCTGATAGGCTGTTTATTAAGCATAGAGCTTCCTTTTATTTCTGGACTCAACTTTTCTGGTCTTTTCATGAGGGAGAACACAAGACAGTTTTTTCAGGGGCATTGGAAGGTTTTTCCACTATGTTAGGAACCAACTTCCTTAATCTACCTACTTTGAATCTTATAGGAGATTCCAGAAGTATCAGTCAAGTTTCCCAATGCAGATACTTGTGACTTAACTTCTCCAAAGCTCAGTTTTCTTATCTGTAAAGTACCATCCTTTAAGACTTGCAGGGAAGATGGAACAAAATAAATGTTCAAAGGTCTCAGCACACAGGCCATTCTCAAAAAATGTTAATAACAGTCTTCTTTTATAATAATTCCAGTTGTTCTTTAATTCCCTTAATTAAAAAGCAAAAATAAGATTTACCAAAAAGAACAAGTTACATACTGTGAACAGAATGTAGTCACTTTATAAAACAGCTCTTATGTATAAATATATACATACATGTATGTTATACTGCCATATGTTTAAAGATCAATGTATTCATAATTTTATGTACATATGACTATATGTAGTTTATTTTTAAGTAGTATTACACACATTTATATCAATGATATCAAGAAGATTGGAGTGAAGAACACACCAATTAAAAATCTCTGCATTACTGGGGTATTTGTAAAAGCCAGCTGTAGAGACAGACTATCACATAGTTATATACATTCAATGATGAATGAGATAGTAAATGAAGAAGAGCTGGCTTCAATTTTACTGTTTTAGAATTTCAGCTGAATTACTCTTAACTATGAGGTCTTAGAAAATTTACCTAAATACTCTCTGGTTCTGTTTTCCACTCTACAGATAGATTGTAATGATTGGTTTATCAAATCATGCTGTGAGATGTAAGTAACATAATGTGTAATGCATTTTGGAGGGGACAGATTCAACTATAGCAACATAAGACACAATGCGGTACTTGGCTGAGTTTTACAGAAAACTTCATAAGTGCCAGGCACTCAGTTGCTATTAGGAAAGCACTTCACAGTCTACGGTGTAGAGAAAATACTAACAAAGTGTTATCAGCTGAATCGCATCTTCCTCAAATTCATATGTGGAAGCACCTGCACCTCAGAATGTGATTGCCTTTAGAAATGAGAGCTTTAGGCTGGGCACGGTGGCTCACGCCTGTAATCCCAGCACTTTGGGAGGCCGAGGTGGGTGGATCATGAGGTCAAGAGATCAAGACCATTCTGGTCAACAGGGTGAAACCCCGTCTCTACTGAAAATACAAAAATTAGCTGGGCATGGTGGCGCACGCCTGTAGTCCCAGCTTCTTGGGAGGCTGAGGCGGGATAATTGCTTGAACCCAGGAGGCGGAGGTTGTGGTGAGCGAGCCAAGATCACGCCATTGCACTCCAGCCTGGGTAACAAGAGCAAAACTCCGTCTCAAA